TAATTTTCTTTATTCATGTAAACTGAATATTTGGTGCATTTTAACGTATTTAGTGATTTTCACAGAACCTAAATATCTTGTTTTGTCCAATAAACACTTGATTATACTCAACTAAAAATAATAAATATATATATAATAAGATATATAAGTAAACAAAGTAGTAAATCATCACATAGAGGAGCTGAAAGTGTTGAATATTTGTCTCTTTTCTTTAAAAAGGACAATTAATCGATTATCAGAATAGCTGGAAGGTATCTGACTAAATGGATCAATAATGTAAATCTGTTATCTGGTGACGCTTTGGTTCTTTAACAACCAGAAATATCTGATAGTAAAAACAAAACAATGTTGTCGCCATTTTATTCAATAAAAGACTTCTTAATTAAACTGCAGAAGTTCCCTGAGAATCTTCATGTTTTGAAGTTTTCTTCAGTGATCCGGTGATCGTTGACACGACATTTAAGGATAAACTGCAAACAGGAGCTTCTTATAGATGATTCAGCATACTTTTAATTCACTTAGTGGTAATTATTAAGTCTCAGGATGTCTCATCATCCAATCAAAACACAGATATTTACTGTGATGAAAACCTGAGAACACACGAGCAACTAACTAAATTTAAAGACGCATAAAACTAATATTTTTATCATAAAACAGTTATTATGACGCAGGAGAGCAGAGTGTTCAACGGGTTAAATAATCAAAGGTTCTCCAGGATGTGTGGGAATACTGACCGCATTAAATATTAATATTAATCAGCTGGTGGAGGATTCCTGGAAGCTCAGCGGTCACATGACGCGAGCAAACAGGAAGTACCGGAGCTGAAGTGAAACAGGGAAGCACCGAAATAATCCTTCAGACAGAAGTTCCATCTGGAATGTCTTCATGGTTTCTAATGACTGTTGATGTAAAGACCTGATCGTCCTTATCTGAAACTACAAGACATCAGTTTGTGGGAAAGACACAAACATTGACCCCAAAACCTCCTGGAGGACCTCGCGGTCTGAGCAGCACTCTTCTTCAAGACCACAACGCCTAGTAACATATTCATTAAACATCCTCAAGAACCTCTTCAAGCTCTCTTGAATCCTCTCCTCAACTCCTAAATCCTCTTCAAGGACCCCCGATGTACCTTCTGTACTTGTTAGTATGTCATCAAGCAATCCTTGAACCTCTTCAATGACCCCAGAAACAAGCTTTGCTCTACAAGCTCCTCAAAAAACTTCCCAAAACCACCACGGGGAACTCTGCTCAAGGATCCCTAAAAACCTCCATGAGCACTCAAGGACCAACAGAACCTTCCCTGAATCATCCTTAATGTCCACTACGGGCGACGTGAGGACACTTCAAGCACTCCTTGAACTATTTCAAACACCACTAACCATGAACACTCTTCTGGGTCCACTAGAACCTTAAAGAGGGCATCAGAACCACCTTAGGAACCACATGGTCCTCCTCAAGAACCCGAAGAACCTCCTCAAGTAACATTGGACCTCTTCGAGGCCCTCTTAAATCCTCTCCTCAACTCCTAAATCCTCTTCAAGGACCGCTGAAGCACCACTGCTACTTCTTAGAATGTCCTCATTTAATCAAGTACCACAGAATCTTTTCAAGAATCCCTAAAAATCACCACGAACCATGAACACTCTTCTGGGTCCACTAGAACCACCTCATGAACCACATGGTCCTCCTCAAGAACCCAAAGAACCTCCTCAAGTACGACTGGGGCCTAAACAAGAACCGAACTCCTCAAGCACCTTTGAAGTTATTAGGGCGCGTCCTCAAGCACTCTTCACGGATCCCCAGAGTCTAGTAGGTCTGAATGAATGTGGATTCAAAGGACCAGCTCTGTGCTCAGGAGGTGGATCTTTAGCTCAGTGGCACCCTCTGCAGGTGAAGCTCAGCACTGCTGAAGGTTTGTACAGAACCTGATCAAATATAATGTTGTATAAATATTGATATTAAGTGTTTTTAGCAGCTGTTGTTTGGGTTTGATGAATGTGAACACTAGAGATTATTATAACAAAGTACAAAGACAAAGTTGTTGATGATGATAACATAAACATGTTAGTTTATGATCTACAGGCCCGTTGGAGATATGCAGGTAAATAATGGTGAGTAAGGTAAAATAACGGTGACATGGAGCGTTGATGTCGTGCGGTGCGTTCGGCTCAGAGCAGCTAGGTTTCAGGTGGTGAATGTTTGTTTACCTCCGGGTTCACATAGTGTCTCCTGATCACCTGCCACAGTCGGCACGTAATGAGCATGTGCAGCAACGAGCTCCCGATGAACACGACGAAACCGTTTTTATGAGCACCTGCAGGACACAGACGGGTTATTAGAGCACGCGCACACACACACACACGATAATAAGCTATCTAAAGATTTTAAAATGAGTTTATTGTACTCACTGTAGGTTTCGGTGGACGACACGTACGTGAGCAGCAACAGGCCGGTGTTCTCGGTGAGGCTGCAGAGGAGAGCCAGCCCGCTCAGCAGCAGTTCCGGCAGCCTCTTGGAGAAGCGGCCGCGGTAGAAGCTGAAATAGGCAACGGACACCAGGTAGCGCGGTGCCGAGTGAAGACCGACGCAGCAGCGCCAGATGTAGCGCTCAGGGACGAGGCTGATGGCGCCGCTGATGGACGGGAGGTAGTTTGACACCTGAGGGCCAAAAAATAAAAGCACACACGGACGATTATTTGAACTTTTCTAACAGGAAACAGATCATATCTTTTCTACTATTAGATCTGGTCATAATTTAATGGTTTGTATTCTCTCCATTTATTTAAACTATGGTTTAAAAGTCAGTAATCTCCAGAGAGAAAGCTTGATTATATGATCTACAAGTCTTTTATTTTGTAGAAAGTCTCTTTATTAATAATAATAATAATAATAATATGTTGTTTAGTTTAGTAGATGGAGAATAAAACTCTGTTCAAAGAGACAAAGATCCTCTGAGCAACAGATGAACAAGAAGAGAAGATTTAAACAGGATTTAAACTGGAACAGCTTCCTGTTTCAGTGTCGAGAGTTTCACAATAAAAGCATCCTAGAACAAGCAGGAATTAACACAGTAGCAACAGAAGGTTAGTGTAGAGTTACTGCTGGAACATCAGCTGAACTCATCAGTTTAAACCTCTTCAATCAGCGAGACTAACTATATTTAGAGTAGGGCTGGGCGGTATGACCAAAAATGCATATCATTGTTGCTTAGGGGGGTCTCTCTCTCTCTCTCTCTCTCTCTCTCTCTCTCTCTCTCTCTCTC